ACCAACGCACCACTCGGCCAGCCCTCCATATTTTTTTTTAAAGGCATAAAAATTTGTCTTCACCTCAGAGCAGAGCTTTATCTTCACTTTTTTGGTGTTTTTTTTTTTAAAGAGGGGGACATGGATCAGTAATCTGAATAGAATCTATGACTCACACAATACAATAATGGTATATTTTCCTGCTTTTTATAGAAAATTTAACAGGCCTGAAATTATTGTCAGCAAGAAGTGGAATACAAATTTGTACATACAAATAGGTAATGTCACAGATCATCAGCAAAATAAAATCTAAAAAACTTGATTCCCAGAAAGTGCTTTAAGTACGTGATTCACATCCAAAACTGTGTGTTTTTTTAAATCAATTTAAGGCAAGATAACAGGAGTGAGGGAATAGCCAAGAATAGTCCCACACTAATTACAAGGACGCTAACTATAAAAGGGAAGAACATATTGGGCATGCATTAATTCATAGGCATGAACTCTTACATGCATTATCTCAGTAACTCCAACAACACTCTCAGGATATTATTTCCCCATTTTATAGTTGAGGGAAATGAAACTCAAGAGAAATGAAGAAACTGGCCAAAAATCAGACAATTAACAAATGTTCAAAACCCCAAAGCTTGTGCTCTTTTCACTAGATTGAAATTCTGTCCAAAACGTTGATAGATCATAGCCATAGCCTACAAGAAGAGGAAAGCCACCAATAATGCCTCAATTCTTAAAAAATCGAGGGCCAAAGAAGTTCAGGAGGTACCTCAAATTATAGAACTGCCAACCTCCTATGGTGTTCTATGAGTTTACATGATTTAAAGACCCTCAAAAATACAGAACATCTCTAAGATGTGTGTACAGGCAGCAAATAAATCTCTATGCTATGAAGGAAAAAAAAATAAATTTCTGACTATCCAAATTAAGGAAAATGGTTAAATAAATTATGGCTTATAAAATTACATTTATGAAGTTTTTAATGATCTGGCAAATTGTTTATGAGAATGTTTATCAATAAAAGCAGACTCTTACAGTAGGCCTATCTGGGGGACTGCTGCCCAGCCCATGCTTTGGAAGTGTCCCCTTATTCCTTCTGCAGGGGTGAGCCTAAAGGGCCAGTAATGTTACTGGAACTCTGGCTCCAGACCACAGCTAACTGAACAAAAGGGAGCACCTGACCCATGCTGGGCCAATCAGATACTCCAGTATTTGAATTACACTTCAGTCTGGTTCTAGAATACACAAGTAGAGTTTGGTTAAAATCAGTACCACAGTAACCCAAAGTCAAGTGACATGGGGGAGCAGAAACTGAGAAGCTAACAGAGGAAACCACCCTTAGCATGGAGAATGGAACAGACATGCAAAATGAAGCAGAGACAAAAGACCATACTGCACCAAAGAGACAAAGGCAAAAGGATGGGGCTTTCCAAATCCCATGAGGTTCATTCCTATTTCCCGAAACTGGGTTCTCCAATATACTTCTTACAATCACTCTTTTACTTAAATTTATTTAAGACAGTTTCTGCTACTAACAAATTATCAAATTAACCTTTGACAGATACAAACTTTTATAAAGAAAAAAAGCATTAACAAAAGTGCTAAATAGTATTAATAGCAGTTGTTTCTTAGTATAAGTGGTGTTCTCTAGTGTTTATAATTTTCTTTCTTGCCAAGTTTTCAACAATGAGCATATTATTACTCAATCAGGGGAAAAAGTGAATAAATGAGGCAATTCTGGATTCAGATAATTAAGGCTTTACTATATATATAATCAGGTAATTTCAGAGCTGGAAATAGTGACATAGAGTGTATAAATTCCAGGGAATTTCAAACCTTGTTCCAGAAGACACTTGGATGCTGTGATGATGCTTCAGGGCCACTTCAGGGGGGAAAAAAAGCTTAGCACACCTCCTGTAGTTAACACCTTTTGCAGCCTCTTTCAGCTCAAAAGACTCCTGTAACTGTCCCTTCACCTAGGACAGGGCCCCCAACAGACATTTTATGCAACAGGGACCAATCTCCAACCACTCAAGGTCTTCACTCAACATCAGAGAATTTACCCAAACCAGGCCTGAGAACCTTCCTATGGTGTTTGGAATGAGAGTGACACTCACTGTCTTTGTCAAAGTGGCTGAAAAGGGGCAAATTTCACCATAAAGATCAAAAGCAGAGGAAGTCAGTTTGCAGGGAGCACGAAGCATAAATAAAATCAATAAAACAAGAGCATAAACAAGAGGCTTCTCTGGTTCTGGGCTCTAGCCATTTGCTGAAGCCCCCACTAGGCTTGTACCTTGGATAGCTTGAAACACCTCTGTGGCCTTACAGCAAATTTCCCTTTTCTGCTTGAGCTATAGTTTAGCTTCTGTTGCTTATAACCAAATATACATACATACATAGGCCCCATTTTGACCAAATTAGCTACTGAGGTACCACATTCGATTTCTATTTACACAGGGGATAAATATTCCCCTACTGAAAAAAAAAAAAAGTACTGATTTCTAGTAACTCAATTTCATTTTACTAGTAAGAAAACTAAGGTCCAAAGTCCACATCTTCACAAAGCAAGTTAGAGATTCTCCTCATTGAAAATGACAATGTTCCCTTTTGGAATCTCAATGCTCCCCAAATACAAACTTAACATAGGTCTTACTGGGTCCCAAGCATTGTTTCACCAACATTAAGAAACTTATCCAATTCTCACAATGCCATGATACATATACTGCTATCCTCTTACAGAGGAACATGAGGCTCAAACAAGCTAAATAATGCGCCCAAAGTCACATAGATTCAAACCTAGACAGTATAGCTCTGGAGTCTGAGTTCTTGATCAGAATACTATTTCTTTAGAAGGAATTTAAGCTTAACTAAGTGGCGCTGGTTATGCATTTGACTCTTAAGACTCTCTCAAGCCTAAGATTCAACAACTGCCTTTTTGATAACACAGTTGGATTCCAGGATATTACTGTCCAAACTTAGTTTTTACCTATTCTTCAATTAATTTCCCTTGAGTCCCCATGGTTGTGCATTATAGAAGGTAGGGCTGGGGCTACTATATGTTACTTCTCCAACACAATTCTACAGTCATTCTTGTCCCATTACAACTTTTTGTCAATTTTTGGCCTGGATATGGCCACAATACAAAAGTGAAATATATATTTCAACTATTATGTTATATTAATTACTAATTTGTGTTCCTTTTTCTTCATTTTAAAAGCGGCAAAATGCAATATTCTACATTTCTCAGGAAAACGGGGCAAAATTAAGTTGTATTGCATCTCAATATGTTTATCTATCTTTGGATCCTTTATTAGGGAATCTTCCCCACCTTCATCCTACACCTTCTAAAATCAGTGATTCTTAATCTGAGGACAATAGACTAGGTCTATAGTTAACCCCCAGGTAGTCCATGGAAGCAAACACATAATTTTGTATTACTAAGCATTTTCCTAATGGAGAGAGTTCATGGAGCTCTTTTCTTTTTTTTTTAAGTTCCAGGATGCAAAAAATTAGTAACTACTGACTTAAAGAAAACTGTACAATAGCATATACTACAGGAAATGAAATTCAAAGTAAGTCCTTTAATGATCCACATTTTTGTAGCACCTCCATTATACTTATTGGAGTATACCAATATACGTATTGTTTATTTGGTCAGAAAAATATACTCATGTTATAAAGAATGTCCCAAATGATGAGAATCCAAAAGGATCTCCGGTAGCTATGTAAAACTGCAATCAACAACAACCCAATCCTATGCTTTCTGTTTCAACTGTATTTTGCTATACATATAACTTCAGGTTGTGTCAATGTAAATGATAGATGGCTTATAAATCCCTTCTTCAAATTCTTTGAGGACTGTTGTTCCTATCTCAGTAAGATAAAGAATTGTTCATGAATTCACTCATTCCGTCAGTAAGTATTTATTGAACACCACTAAGTGCCAGGCACCGCAGTAGCCCTCTCTGCCTCTGTGGTTAATTCTTGGTTTTCCTCTAAATTGTAGTCTCAGTCTACAAATATAAGTTAGAGCTTATCGTTCATATTTGTATGCCCAGAGCTGAGTAATGATAAAACACAGAGAAGACAGAACGAATACAAAGGCAGTAGCTTCGCATTAAGAAAAACTTCCCCTGGCCAATTTTCTGGGCCAGCTCATGCTACTAAAGTCAAAATGAGATGGTTCATTAAAATCTAGCATCGTTACCAAAAAAAAACAAAAACAAAGAATTCTTCTAAACATGTATGTATCTTTCTGATAACGTTTTTCTTGGACACATAAATACAAGCAATCTCTTATGCTACAAAAAGGACCCTCAACAATGTCAAGAACAGATATGATTCAAAGGCCTTTCAATAAGGCGCCATGAAGACGGAAAATTTGACAGAGTGACAAGCAAATCATTTTCCCTATATTCATCTTGATACTAGTTTTCTGGATAACTGTTTCAGAAGCAACACCAAGAAATAACAGAAATGAGGAATAAGAAGAGGAAACGGAGAAAATGCATGCTGAGATAAGCATTTCGGCTTAGGCTAAGTGGAATGCTCTAAGAGTTACTACTGTGAATGACCAAAACAACCTGAGTCTAAAAAGTTGTTTGTGTGAGGTTCAGCTATTATATTTCACCATATGTCAGGGGCATTGTTCACTTCTTGAAAAAGTCACAAACATCCTGCTTGCAGCCTCCCCCGGGTACCGCTAACCATTTTAGTTATTCCCGTGACACCGGGTTTTAAAAAAAAAACAAAAAAAAACACGAACATCGGCAAGTATTTAAGAGAGGCCTTGAGAGAACTTTTCACCCCTAGCCGCAGCCCAAGATCCTCCCACGGGAACTGCCAATGGACCGCAGCCCCGGACCGATGGGCGGAGGGGCGGTCGGCCACGCCCGGATGCGCGGAGGGCTGGGGTCCAGGCCCACCGGCTCACCGGCCACACGCTCTGCAGGGGCCACCCTGGCGAGGGAACTCGGACACGGCGCGGGGTCAACGCTGCGGCCGGGCCTCACCTCCACGGCCTGGCCCAGCTCCAGGTCGAAGCCCACCACACACACGCAGTGCAGCCAGGCAGAGAAGCCGTCCCAGCGCAGCAGGCCCCGGCCGCGGCCATCGTCCTCTTCATCGTCCTCCCGCGCGACTCCTGCCGCCACCACGGCCGGCGCCTCGCGCTCCTCAGCCGCTGCCACCGCCTCCTCTAATGGCCCGCGGGAGCTGGGCCCCGAGCCTGCCAGGCCCCGCAGAGCCATCCGCCGCCCCCTTGCTGTTCGCACCGCCTTCACCGCGAACCGAGCCGCAGGGCGCGCTCGGCTCTACGCAGGCGCCGCCGCCGCCGCCGCCGCTGCCGCAGCCGCGGGGGACGGGCTCCGCCTGGGCGGTGCCTGGGCCCACGTGACCATGCTAGCCCGGCTCTGCGCGGGTCCTCCCCTGTCACTGCGAGGACGTGGGACGTCACGTTGGCGCTTGATAGATTGTGAAGCCGACCCTGGCCTCCTTGTCTTAAGCTGTTTAAGACCGAAAAGATAGGTTATGAATTCTGACACCCTCCTTCACAGTCCAGCGACCAAGGAATAAATTATTCTTGGAATGATAGGGTTCATAATTATCAGGTATGAGTAAATTAAAGTAAAACATAATAGTTGTGATGACAAACATGTACTGAACACTTGCTCTGTGCCAGTTGATGTGCCAAGCAAATACTTTACAAATATTGCATCACTGAATCTTCACATCATGGCCAGTAGGTAGACATATTTATTCATTTATTTTTACACATAAGGAAACTGAGGTTCTGAGAGGTTACATGACTAGCCCAACAAGTATTACAACTCCGATGCCAGCTTACAATTCGTTCACGCTGTCTGCTGATTTAGAGTTCTGTGCTTTCCTTCCCTCGGCTTTTCCCTCTCCACCAAGGACCCTTCCACTTTTCCTGGCTTGGTTGCCGGTGAGCACTCACACCTCTCTAGACCTTGCTGGAACACCAGGTTGACCTCCACAGCAACCTGGGGATCACTCACTCTTAGCAAGGGCCCAGTCTCAGGCAGCTTTGTATTCTCACAGAGCAGTACTGGGCTGGGAACCCAGGAGACACTTTCACTGTTGAACTGTTGCTTTTTATTGGGCCAGCATGATTTATTCAGCACCTTCTATGCTGAGTATAAACCACACAGTAAAAAATGAATAGGAAACACACAGCAATACCCCAATAGAAAAATGGGTAAAAGACAATGAGTAATAACTCACAATAAATGTATTTTTAAAAACAGCATAGGGTTCATGCTTTTACAACATGTTATCTAATCCTCCCAACAGCCCCAAAAGGTAAATTTATTATTATTCTCATTTTATAGATAAGGATCCTGAGGCTTCAGGAGATGACAGTGATGTCACAGCCAGTAGGTGGCAGAACAAAGATTTAAACCCAGATCTCGCTGACTGAGCCTGAGCTCCCAAGCATTTTATTATACTGCCCAGTCAAATCTACCCCATTTGACAAACATTGTTCTGTGCACATTCTTAGGATTTTCATTTGTAATAAGAGTTAGCATTCCTGTTTTCAAGAAGAGGGGCGAGCATCCAGAGATGTCAGTAGTGATGTTTGCTAGAGACTTTGTTTAGGACATAGATGAACTAGGGACAGCATCAAAGTTAAAGGCAATTCTTTGGGCAAAGCAGTCTGCCCTCCTACTCCAGAGAACCTCTGTAGTTAAGAAAGAAAAGCTATATTCTGCTTTTAAGTAAGCTTCAAAACCCACTATTAGGAAAGAACAATAGCCTTTAGCATTAAAAACAGTCTTGGGGGCCAGCCGAGTGGTGCGATGGTTAAGAACTCGCTTGGGATGCCAGAGGGCCCCGGTTCAGATCCCACATATGAGGGCCAGTGACACTGCCCTC